AGTGTATTGACAAAGTTACAGAGATAGATTCTGAGGAGGTTCCATTTTACTATGTTGGGACTGATGGAGGCTTGAGGTACAAGGGACGCTTCGTGGTACCTTCTGCTGACAATTTGAGGAAGGACGTGATGACTGAGACTCATCATTCTGAGTTTTCTGCTCATCCAGGAGGAGACAAGATGTATCAGGATATAAAACGGCAGTTTTGGTGGGCAGGTATGAAGTGGGACATTGCTCTTTTTGTTTTTCAGTGTAGTACCTGTCAGATGGTTAAAGTTGATCATCAGAGGCTGCCAGGAGCTTTACAGCCACTACCAATACCGAAGTGGAAATGGGAAAGCATTTCTATGGATTTTGTGGAAGGATTGTCCATTTCTTTCAAGGGTCATAATTCCATTTTGGGTCATCATGGATAGGTTGACTAAATCAGCTCACTTCCTACCTAGTCGAACTGATTTCACTACAGAGCAGTTGGCGAGGCTTTACGTTTCAGAAATTGTGAAGCTGCATGGTATTCTGGTGTCTATTATATTGGACAGAGATTCGAGTTTTGTGTCAGGATTCTGGAAGAGTTTTCAATAGGCTTTGGGTACAGAGTTGCACCCTAGCACTGCTTATCATCCTCAGACTGATGGACAGACTGAGAGGGTTAATCAGATTATGGAAGATATGCTTCGGTCGTGTGTGTGCTTGATTTCAAGGGCCACTGGGAGGATTACTTACCGCTTGTGGAGTTTGCTTATAATAATAGTTTTCAAAAGGCTATTGGGATGGCACCATTTGAGGCGTTATACGGCCGACCATGTCGATCGCCTGTTTGTTGGATGGAGGTTGGAGAGAGTAGATTCTTGGGTCCTGAGTTTATCAAGGATACTTCTGAGCAGATAGCTCTTATTCGAGATCGTATGCGCACTGCTCAGAATAGGCAGAAGAGTTATGCTGATCGGCGTACTTGTGCTTTGGAGTTTCAGGTTGGGGATCAGGTTCTACTCAAAGTGTCTCCTATGAGAGGAGTAATGCGCTTTGGGAAGAAAGGAAAGTTGTTACCACAGTTTGTCAGTCCTTTCATGATTACGGATCGAGTTGGGGCTGTAGCTTATACGTTGGCATTGCTGGATACTTTGGATCGTGTACACAATGTGTTCCATGTTTCCATGTTGCGAAAATTTCTGCGAGATGAGGATCGGTATCCGCATATCGATGTTGGGGAGATAGAGTTGCAGCCGGATGCAACATATTTGGAGCCACCGAGTCGTATTGTCGACCGTAAGGATCAAATCCTTCGTAATAGGGTTATTCCTTTGGTGCGTGTTCAGTGGAGTCATCACAATGAGGCTGAGTCTACTTGGGAACGGGAGGATGTCATTCGCTCGCAGTTTCCTGAAATATTGGAAGAAAGTAAGAGCGAATTCTGAGGACGGAATTCCTTTTGTTAGGGGGAAAGAATGTAATACCCCTAATTTCAGAAGGATAGTCCTGGTATTTAATTTATTGTTTTAATTGAATTTTTAATTTTTTAAATTGTTTAGTTACTTGTGTGTTGGACTTAATTGATTATTTGATTATTAATCGATTACATGCTTGGTTGTCTTGTGTTGTTTAAATTACTTGTGGATTGGTTTAGTTAAATGGTGCTTTATTTTCTTTTATTATTATGGTTTTGATGGAATTATTTTAATTAGTTATTTAAATTATATTTTGTTTTTTTTTAACTTAATTATATTTTAGCGTTTTAATTATTTATGTGGTTTTGTAATTTAAATGTAATTTTAGCTGCTTCATTCTTAGGGTTTTATGTTATACATTGTAGTTAGGTCAGAGCCGACTTCTTGTTGGTTTTGGATTTAATGTAGGGTTTAGATTAAAACCTATAAATACCTAAGCATACATCTGCTAAGGGCTACAAAACAAACCCTATTCAACCTATTCACGAATACTGTGAAACGGAGAGTTACAGAGAGGAATACAGAGAGCAACAGAGAGGGAACTTTGAGGGTTTAATAGAGAGGCTCAAGGAGGAAGGAGTGGGTTGCTTTTGGGTTAGCCAAGAGTAATAAAGGCGTGGAACAAAGTTGGAAGTTCAGAGACGTGGATTAGAGTTTCAAATCTAAAACTCAAAGACAAGTTTCTGTTCTTGCTCTTTCCCTTTAATTCATGTTCTGTGCATGCCTAGCTAGACTTCAAGGGTTTAAATACATGCTAAAACTGATTTAATCATGCACGCTTAACTGGATTAAAACAGAGGGTATATGTTTTTAGTTTTAGTTTCTTATTTTGAATGGTTATGGAAGTTTTGATGCATAATTGTTGTTTAAGATAAATATTTGCATATTAAAATACTTAAAATAATTTAGTATGGACGTATGGGACGTAGGTTGAGGCTTAGAAGCCTTAACAATGGAGTTCTGGGGCTTACAGGGGCTGAACGGATGAAAAAGATGGCTTCAGCATCAATTTAGCCGACTCAGTTGGGAACTGAGCCGACTAAGTTGGCAACTTAGCCGACTCAGTTGGGAACTGAGCCGACTAAGTTAGGAACTTAGCCTGCTCAGTTGGCAATTGAGCCAACTAAGTTGGGCCGCGACCTGAATTTTAATTTTAATTGCCCAAAATTGTTTTGAAACCTATTTTAATTAATTTAAATAGGTTAAATGGACTTTGGAAGGTTCTTGAATGCATAATACACTTCTTATGCTTAAGAAATTTAACAATACGGATATGTAAATAAATTGTTAGAAATTATTTAAAGGATGAATCAGTATAAAAGCATACAACTTAGTATACTGATAATGGATGGAAAGAACCAAACTGCTTAGCTTAATTTTGGGCAACATAATGGATTATAATAAGATTATAAATCTTATATTGGATGCATTATAGATCATTTTATGTTTAAAGTTTGAACTATGCATGCTCTGGATGTAAATTGTTGGAATATCAAATTCTCTAGTGCAATTACATGAATTAATGTTGGGATTTATATTGTTGAAATTTTATATACTTTTCTGCAATGATATGGATAATGGTTTGGATTGTAAATTACTAGCTTATTATTATGTTTTGTAATTTACATGGATATAGAAGATTGTATGCACCGGTATGGGACGGTGACATGCTAGGGACGGTTTACCTCAAAACGCTTAAACCTACCCTAATGGATTAAAGAATGGATTGAAAAATATTGAATCCAAATTGTGATTGAGTCAGATCAACTGCGACTAAGTTGAATGGCTTCCTGGATTAATGGATGGTAGTTAAGTCATATCAACTGAATAAGTTGAGTGACTAACTAGTTTGTATATTGTATGTCATCTCAATAAGTATTTGAATGACATACCCTGGTTTTGGACGGACTTTATATATATGTTTATGGTACCACGAGATGAGCTTGAGTCTCAGACTCGTTGGTTAGGGTGCATATATGCAGTGGATGCGTAGCTGGTTAAAGTATGTTGAGGTGTACCATGTTAGGTCTAGGTACTCATGCCCACCTTTGGGTGCGTTTTTGCATGTTGCCTTCTATTCAGGTTGAGACCCCTACTGTAGTCCAGTGAATGTCCCTTAGTGTGGATATATATATGTATGGACTAGATAGATATTGTTGAGCTATCTAGGATGTATCTGCGTATCGGATTACTGCTTGGATCGTAGTAGAATAGGACTTGCATGTGGGCCTGACCCACTCTTTATTTTTCAGGTGTCCGTCAGTTCCAGGGTCAGAGCTTGGACGTGCAGAGTAAATACAGATATTCATTCCTCCGACTACGTAGGATTCTTTTCTATGTTTAGCTTAAATTCTAGTTCAGATATTTTAGTTTCTATTGGGTTTTAATAAGGGGTCCACTGGATGGATTCTTGAGTTGTAAACTTATGGAGTTTTAGATTGACGGATTTAAATAATTATGTTTTGAGGATTTTTATTCTAGTTTCTTTCAGCTTATTATTTTTATTTCTTTAATTCAATTTATATTCCGTGTTCGTTAAAATATTAATTGTTTGATATTCCTTTGGGTTTGGGCCTGGGCCTGATCAACCCGTGTCTCGGATCCGAGGGGTATCACAATTACATTGTGGTATAAATGTGTAAAACCTTCAACTAGCCACTTTAAAACATAACCTCATATCCTTTTTAGAAACAAAAAGTAGCCGATATGACATTTGGACTTGAAGTGCCATGGTTGGCCCTACTTTAATAAAGGTACTAACTAGTAGTCAGTGGAATGGGTAAAAGCATCTCCATTCTCCAATGCCCTCTCAAAGTCAAAATATAACAGGTGGATGAAAATAATACACTCTAATGGGCTCTCAAAAGACCTCTCATATTTTGAGATTGTTAAAAGTATTGCCATATATAGCAGCTCTCAAAAATTTTTGAGATGTCTTTTTTTTCTCATATAGTACCGTTTCTCAAAATATAGCAGGTGGATAAAAATAATACACTTCATATAGTATTTTGGATAAAATGCACAACTGGAGCATAATTGCTAAAATATAGCATTTTGACACTTTAACTCTTCTCAAAATATAACTTTGACATGAAAAAATAACATTTTACATTGGAGATGCTCTAAGATCCCTATTAATTAAGCTTCTTATTCCCTTTTTGTGTTTTTAATATGCAAATCCATTAGTCTAATGTCATGGCCCGTTTGACAACCACTTTTCTTTTGTATTTTTATTTTGATTCGAAGCAAAAGCATTGTTTCTGCTTTAGAGCGTGTTCAACGCTATTTCGAAACTTGTTTGGTAACATAAATTTGCTAAAAGATTTTTTAAAGCAAAAACATGAAAGCATGTTTTATAGAAAATGTTGTAAGTTTGAAAATTTGAATGGCTAGTTAAAAATGTCATTTTAGAAAGTATATATATATATATATATATTAACAGTACGGAAGCAAACAAAAAAAAAATCATTTTTATGCTTTCAATTTTGGCCTCAATTTCATAAGCACTTCAGTACTATTCAAATGGTAGCAAATGTTACCAAATATGTTTTATGCTTACTGCTTTTGCTTCGCTACAGTACACTAGTAAAAACAAAAAATAAAAAGTATTTGCCAAAACAGAGTGAAAGACTTTCACCTTGTACTGTGTTTGGTGTGCAAGAATGGAATGAAATGCAGGTGGGAATTGAATGAAAATGGGATTGGCCGGAATGGAATGGAATGGCCATTCTCATTCTATTATTTGGTTGTAAATATGAAATGTGTAGGAATGAAATGATAATAACCATTCTAGTGTTTGGTTGGACTAATTTAAAATTTAGAATGGAATGGCATGCAAGTGGGAATGAAATGACAATGGGAATGGAATGGAATGTCTATTCTCATTTTATTGTTTGGTTGTAAATATAAAATGCGTAGGAATAGAATAATAATAACCATTCTAGTGTTTGGTTGGATCAATTTAAAATTTAGAATGGAATAATTTCAATTAAGTTCTCCAAAATATCACTCTTATTAATAAATAAATTAAATTACCAAAATGACGTTTTTTGTAAATTTTTTTAAAAATAAATGGTAGTGGAGGTGAAAAGTGGTAGTGGCGTAGGTAGTGGTGTTAGAAGGCGGCAATGGTGGAAAGTGGCATCGGTGGTGGTGGTGGTGGAAGACGACAGTGGTATTGGTAGATAGCGATGGCAATAGTGTGGTGATGGTGGTGGAAGGAGATTGTGGTGTATATGACAGTGGTAGAAGCCAATTGACGTGACGATGGTGGAAGCTAATAGAGGTGATTGTGGTGGTAGTGGAAGACAATGAAGGTGGCGGTAGTGGAAGGGGTGGCGATAACGGTGGCAGTGGTGGCGGCGGCGGCGGTGGGAGGTGGTGACGGTGGCGATGGTGGAAAGTGGTGGTAGTGGTGGAAGGCGGCTGTGGTGGCGGTGGTGAAAGGCAGTGGTGGTGGTGGTGATGGAAGATGGTAGTGGTAGAATGCGATGTGATGGCGAAAGGTGGTGGCGGTGGTGGAAGGTAGCGGTGGTGGTGGTATGTGGTGGCTGTACGTAGTGAAAGGTGGTGGCGGTGGCGGTGGTGGTGGTGGAATATGGTGGCGGTGGAAAAAGGTGATAGCGGTGGCGGCGACGGCTGTGGAAAGCGGTGGTGGTGGTGAAAATCGATGGTGGTGGTGGTGGTGGTGGTGGAAGGGGGTGGTAGTGGTAGAAGTCAGCGGTGGTGGTGGTGCAAGGCAGAGGTGGTTGTGGTGGAACCATGAAAGGTAATGGTGATTTATGGACTTGGAACATGAGGGTTTTTTGGGAAGTTGATTTTTTTTTTTCAAAAAAAAAAAAAACTTGGGAATGGAATGACCATTCAATAAGTTTAGTTGTGGAATTAATTTTCATTTTCACTTTAGGACAATACTTGCCTACTCACCGTTGGGTAGGAAGTATATGCTTACCTTGATGTGGTACAAAATTAGTGGAACACGTATTCCTACAATATAAAATAATAAAAATTAAAAGATTTGAGAGGTTATTGGATTAAACCCAATATGATCCAAATCTAAGTCTCTTCCCCTCTCTCACGTTACTCTTTTTGTCCAGTAAGTGAATGAGACAAACAAAGTTATGGATGATGAATAGAAAGAATAACTATAAATGTAATGATACATAGATATTTATTTTCCGCTAAAAGAAAAAAAGATCATAAATAAGTAATAACAATCTATCCTGTAATCAATAAATTATCTATCAAACTATGTGAACCAGATTTTATGTAATTTGGTGTACTTTAGATCAAAATAATTGATAAGTATATATAAGGATTACATTTTAAATCATGAAAGATAAAAGTCAAAACTTCTACTATTAGCATATTAGGGTTTCAGCGCAATAGTTTGAGAGAGAGAAAAAGAGGGAGAGTTAAATTAGGATTTGATTTGCATCCATTTTGGTGGACTCGGTAAGCATTCAAAATTTTTAATTTTTATTATTTTTTATTTTAGTGACACTTGTCACATTATTTTTACGCCACATCAGGGGTAAATATGTACTTCTTATTAATTAGTGAGTAGACAAATATTGTCCTTCACTTTAAATTGCATACTAAATAAAAAAATAATTGAAATAAACATTCTATTCTATTTCATTTTTATGCACCAAACCAAACGCAGCATTAATTCATTAAAACAAACTTTAGAAAAAAAAAAACCAATACTGTGCACGGTGGATTATGAGATTGCTCTAAAAAGCTACCGAGGATATCTGCTTTTCTCAGGTACTCCAATGATTTTTATCTTTGGAATGCAATCACCAACCCGATTATGAAAAAAATATTGCTACTTTGACAATTTACTTTTGTGTGAAATGTCATATTTGCCCTTCAATATATATAACATCAACCTTTTTTTTTTTTTTTCACTAAGAAATGACAAATGCTCCTTGAGGAGGCCCAGGACGACATGGGCCGGATCTGACTTGCAAGCACTACATCCGGTCCGTACAGCTGGGTCGGCCCATAAAAAGACACTGCCATATGGGCCGAACGCGAATAAGCCCATCAAAGGTGACCAGGACTTATGGAAGAACAGGCCCAGATCCAGCAATCCGTCAATATTTGTAAATATCTTGTAAATATCTATAAATAAGGGAAGGAATGGAAAGAATGGGAGGATCTTGTTGTTGAAATGTAAGAATTCTAGAGAGAGAAAGAGAGTATGAATTTCTTGCATCTTCAATATTCTTTCCATTCTTTCCCTTATTTATAGATATTTACAAGATATTTACAAATATTGACGGATTGCTGGATCTGGGCCTATTCCTCCATAAGTCCTGGTCACCTTTGATGGGCTTATTCGCGTTCGGCCTATATGGCAGTGTCTTTTTATGGGCCGACCCAGCTGTACGGACCGGATGTAGTGCTTGCAAGTCAGATCCGGCCCATGTCGTCCTGGGCCTCCTCAACTGCCCCCATAATTGCCCCTTATTTAATAAGGGGGTAATTATTGATGGCGTCTCATCATGACGTTGACGGCTCGAGAAAACCACGTGGGGGAACGGACGGTCAGATCCAGAATCAATGTTCCGGGGCTCGATGAATTTCTCGCCTTCCTGACGCTTCGGCCCTCGGGCCCCCCTCGCCTTTATAAGGCTCTAGAATACCACTTCACGTCTTTTTACCGTCTCCATCATCAGTCAAATCTCTCTCTTTCTAGAACAGTGCTAAGCTTTTTCTGGTGAAATCCTTCAAGAGTCATTCTTCCAGCGATCTTGCAGTCCTCTAAGGTTAGTTTTGTTCCTTTTTACTTTCGGCAGGCTTCTATTTACCCCCTTTTAGATCCTTCAAGCACTTCCACCATGGTTGTAGATCTGGATGTTCTTCGTATGAGACTTAGACTTCCTGACAACATCGAGGTTAGGGTTTGCCCTCAGGACGTTAACATTATGACCGGTGCCGGCCTCCTGCCCGGCGAAGTCTTATTCACGAACCTTCAATTGAATATCGTTAGGTTCCCTCTGCACCCTTTCTTTAGTTATGTCTTCAATAGATTGGGGATATCCCCCCTGCAGGTAAACCCCAATTTCTTTAGAATCATATCCGTTATGCTCCTGTTGATGCGTGACAGAAATCTGGACCTTGACCTCATAGACCTTCTTCTGTGTTATAAGGTCAGTAAGATCCGTACTAATGAACCCTTCTACCACCTCTACCCGTTCGAGAAGATGTCCATATGTACGGACACAATAAAATCTGAACAGGGTTGGAGGGATAGCATCGTGGGCATTAGTGGGGCTTGGTCTTCGCCGGCTGCAGAGGGTTACCCAATCCCGAGCGCCTTTGGTGTCTGTTCTGTTTCCTCCTATAAGAAATTCAAATCTCATAAACATGATTGCCCCTGCGAAACATGCGTTCCCCGTTTTTGTACTTTCTTATGCCGTTCCTTAGGAATACCTTGTGATGACTTGAGCTACAGTGTTTGCAGGGATAGGAGTAATTACTTGAAGAAATACGTTCTGAATGATATTCCTTCCTGCTCAGATCTCCTCACTTCAGACAACCTCTTAGCGCTCTCATCACTCGGCTACAACATGAGCAGGCTTCAGATTCCTTCTTTTGGCAGGAAGAAAAATACTCCCCCAGCCACTCCTACTGCTGGGGCGACCTCCTCTCCAGCATCAGCCTCTTCCTCAGCCACAATCTCTGACACTATCCCGAGCACAGTGGCTATTAACTCCGTTGTCAGCACCCCTGCTGCCAATCCGAGCGCGTCTCCCCAAATTACCACAGCTCCTGTTGCGGCGGGGGGCGTTCAGGATAAAGAACGAGGCAAAAGGCCTCATCCTGACAGTGAAGTCGATCCTGAGGAGGAACCTCTCATAAGAAGGACCCGGGTCTCCGGGCCGGGTGCTCTCTTGCATCGTGCGATCAGAGCTCCTGCTCCCTCTGGGCCTACTGCAACTGGTGGCTCCGCTTCTGCTTCAGGCCCCCCTTCTATCCCCACCTTACCGCCATGGGCCCCTCGGTACACCCGAACGGATGGGACGTTCGTGAAACCGAACGAGACCATGCTGAAGGATGGCCAGACCGCCATGGCGTACTATAGGAGCATGTGGACTCCGAAAGACCTTGAGGCGGCAAAGGGCCTATCCCAGAAGGATGTGTTCAGCCGCTTTCCCCAATCTGCTATGGAGGTGACTTTTATTTTTCAACTCATGAATTCTCTCATATTATTTGGTCTTGCCTTCGCCCGACCTGACTATTGGCTTAACCGTTCTTAATGTACACCTATGCAGACATTATTCGGAATGATGGCTATGCAGAAGCAGGTGGAGATGGGGAACGCCAGGGCTCGTAAGTTTTCTGATAGCCTGGAGGTGGCTAATAAAGAAAACGACCTTCTCGCCATGAAGAATACCGAGGTACTGGCTCAGCTTGAAAAAACTGAACAAGAGAGAGATGTCCTGAAGAAGGAGAATGACTCTCTTCAGGATGAGAAGGATGCCCTCCAGCTTGAAAAGAGCGTCTGGCAGACTGAGCGTGACTCAATCAGAGACGAAAAGGCAGAACTCCAGCGCCTTCTGGCTGATGAA